TATGAGAAACTTCATCTCTTCTTATACTCTCCTTAAACAGCTCTACCATCTTGTTGGCTGCCTCGTAGTAAATATGTCTTTGTTACAGGCTCACTATCAATTTGTATGAGTGTTAGGGTTTTTTTTTCTTTTAACTATTTGAGAATGACTCTCTCACGTGAGAAAGAATTAATGGTCCTATCCTGGTTCTGCTTTCCCTGGAGAAGTCCCCAGCATGGGCAGCCTATGTGCACAAAGTGTCCCTCTCCAGGTATTTGCCTTCTCCGGAGTCACTAGCATAGCTGAGACCTCACATGGCCCCAAGACAATGTCTAGAGAAGACCCTCAGCAGCGAGTAACAAGGGCTCTCAGGGTCCTCCCTGCTCATAATCCAAGCACCCTCATTCCATTTTCATCTCTGGCTGCTGTTCTGCCTGGCTCTTGCCCCCCCAGTTAGAACCTCATGATACCAGAGTCTGGACACACCACGGGCCCCTCCCACCTTCATCTGGTTTCTGAGCGGTGGACAGCAGAGATCCTGCCCAGCTGTTCACTAAACTACCACATGGCACAACATGCCTGTGGCTGAGGGGAGCCAGCTGGTTTTACTCCAAATGGGAAGCAGTCTCCATGCACATAGGTGACAGCCAACCCAACTCAACCAACTCAACCCCTCATCCATTTCAAAATAAGGAAAAGTCTTTTAGATCTTTGGTATAGAAGGCCCTGCCAAGGTATTTTCATTTTAAATCCTTTTCGTTTATGTGATAGAAGGGGAAAAAAGCTTTGCATTTTTGTGCAGGGAATTGTGGTCATCAGCAAGAAGCCCAGGAGCAATCTAGATCTGTATGTTTTGGGGGCATTGCGGAGGAAAGGAATGAGAGATTAACCTTAAATTGGCCTTTTTTTAGGGTGCCTTAACAGTCAGTTTCGTAGACTGTCTATCACAGGCCTAAGAAACTTTCTGGGTGCAACCCTATCTCCCCAAGGTCTTCCTGATTTCTTAATTCTTCTACCCAAGTCTCAACAATTTGGTGAGGTCTAAATAATAATAGGTAGACTTTGGGATTGGACAACCCAAGTCTGTGCCTGTTCTTCAACTTGGCAACAACCAATAGCTCACTGGTTGGGAGAAAACAAATCAGGTGATTGGTTGGGCAGACAAATCAGCTGATTCACTAGGGACAAACAAATCACATGATTGCTCAGGGAAAGAGTCAGGAGCCCCTCCAAAGGAATGTATACACAAATTTCTAGTTTTGAACTTTCTAGTGTCCATGAGCTGTTAGATAATAAAGTATGTACTTCTGTCCTGTGTGTGTTTAATGTGTATGATGAGAAATTCTGTGAATATTAAACAGGGTCTTTTGCATATATAGGGTTTTTTTATGGGACTAAACATACATAGTATTTTAGGGCTTGCCTTTTTTCTCATGGAGTTATTCAACAGCTTTGGATCTATTTCTATATCATTTTAAATGACTGACTACCATCCTACCAATATGCTCAATGACATGATATTTAGTTTGGAGTTAACTGACCAATAGAAAGAATGCATTGATGGACATTCTTGTGAATCTTTGTGCTAGTCTTGGTTAAATCTTAGTACATTTGTAATTATTGATCAGGATACATTTCTAGGCTTGGAATAGCTGGGTGGTATTCTTTCTTTTTGATGCTTTAGAGAACATGTCCCCTCTCCCTTTCCTCTCACCAGCAGAGGTATTTTCATTCTTTTTCTTTTCTTTTTTTTTTTTTAAAGATTTATTTATTTATACAAGAACCGGGGTACAGGTCAGGTGCGCGGGAGGGTGAGAGGATTCACCAGAGACAGAGTGGGATGCAGAACACGCACTGGCAAAATACACTGCTGAGGGGAGCAGCAGGCGAGACAGGAGAGGTCTGCTTCGCCATGTGGGATTCTTGCTGGCTGGCCGGGATCGAACCCACACTGCAGAGGCTGTGGACAGCTTCACAGTGCGGTGCTCAACTGCCTGCGCCACCAGGGAGGCCCTTCATTCTTTTCCTTTTATCTTTGCCAATTTGATAGGGGGAAAAGGAGATCTCATTCAATTTTGCATTTTTTTTTATTACTAGTGAGAGCAAATAATTTGAGAAGTATCCTTCAGGCCTTTATGGTGTGTGTAAATCATGATCTTTATTCATATTTCCATTGTTGTGTTTGCCTATTTTTAAAACTGACTCAAAATAATTCTTCATAGGTCAGATATATGAATTTTGTTGCAAATATTTTTCTTAGTTTGTGATTTACTTACAATGAGTTTTGCTGTATAAAAGCTTAAATTTTATGCACTCAATTATGTCAGTATTTTCTTTCATAATTTTTGCCTGTGGGAGGGAAGTTGACATGTTTGGCAGTTCTTCTTCATTTGTAGGCCCATGTAACCTATTTTTCTTCTTTCACTTTTATGGTCTTAATTTCCACACTTATTGCTTCAATCCATCTGAAAGCTGTTTTCATGTTTGAGATAGTACTCATATTTTTCTGAGGAAGAATTCTAACTCATTTTTATGGTCTGCTAATTAGCCTGATATGATTTATCAAATGATCAATTATTTCATCACTGGTTTGAAGATGCCTCTTTGTCACATAATAAATTTTTATTTATTTAGTCTGTTTGTAGCTATTCACTTTTTATTTATTTAGAAACTTTTTTTTTTAATAGAGGCATGTTTTTATTTATTTATTTGTTTGTTTGTTTGTTTGTTTGTTTGCTTGTTTTATACATGCACTGGGTACAGTCAGAAGTGCGGGAGGGTGAGAGAATTCACCAGAGCCAGAGCGGGGAGCAGAGCAGGCAGAAGGACCGAAGTACACTGCTGAGGGGAGTAGTGGGCGGCAGGAGAGGTCTGCGCGCCATGTGGGACCCTCCTCCGGTGGCCGGGGAGCAGCCGGGGATCGAACCGGCGCAGCAGAGGCCGCGGGCAGCTTCGCAACCCAGCGCTCAACCGCTGCGCCACCGGGGAGGCCCAGCTATTCACTTTTGTTCCATTAATTTAGCTATTCTTAGCAGGAATTTAGAAAACCTAAATAAGGGACCAGGAAAAAGGCTAATTAATACAAAGTAAAAATCAAAATCAACAAGCAACTATAAACCAGAGACACACTGAGCGGGGGAGGGAAGGGGAGAGGAAGGACTAGGGTCAAAATAAGGCGGGTTACAATTGTATGGGTCATATAACAAAAATGATAATGCATACATTGTGCAAAAATGAAAAATGATGTAAGAATTATATAAAATAAATTATTAATTTAAAAAATTTAGCTATTCTTATACCAATAGTGTAGTATTTTAATAATGATAGCATTATAGAACCTCCAAAGATCTAATAAAGGAAACATCCCATTCTTACTTTTCTTTAAGAATACATAAATAGGGCCTCCCCGGTGGCGCAGCGGTTGAGCGCTGGGTTGCGAAGCTGCCTGCAGCCTCTGCAGCACCGGTTCGATCCCCGGCTGCTTCCCGGCCACCGGAGGAGGGTCCCACATGGCGCGCAGACCTCTCCTGCCGCCCGCTGCTCCCCTCAGCAGTGTACTTCGGTCCTTCTGCCTGCTCTGCTCCCCGCTCTGGCTCTGGTGAATTCTCTCGCCCTCCCGTGCTTCTGACTGTACCCAATGCTTATGTAAGTAAGTAAGTAAGTAAGTAAATAAATAAATAAGGCAAAAGGATTTAAAAAAAAAAAAAAAAAGAATACATAAATATATAAATGCTATATATAAATATATGTAAAATATAAGCATTTGTTCTTTTAAATGGGCTTTATTTTGTTAAATTTAAAAAGATATTATTGATATTTTTATCATAGTTAGATTTATTTCCCTAACACCTAGTATTATTCTTTTCAGCAATTTGTCTCTTAAATCATCCTTCAGACAATTGTTTTCTCTACGTGAGTTATTCATATTTCTATTTATTTTACATCTTTACTTGCTATTGTCAATTTTTTTCCATGATATTTTCTTACTGATCAATGGTATTATAGGGGAAAACTCTTAGTTACTACTCTGACATTTCTTTAGCCAACCTTTTTTGTCCTGACAGACAAGCAATTGTCTGATCCCCACATAATTAGAATTTTATCTTCTCCAGTAGAGGACATATTTTTCATTTTTCTCTTTTGCATAGGCAAAATACCTATAAACACAAAAAGGAAGATTATTGACATAAATGGAAATGCCTCTAGTGTTTCATCATGGGCAGAGGGAGGGGTGACCTCATTAAGAACACCTCCATATATTACAGTTTCCATATATTAGAGGGGTTTTCAATATCAGGAATGGCTATTGGCTTTTATCACACAATTTTAAGGCATCTATTGAGATGTTTATGTGACCTTATTCCTTTGAAACACTGATGGGATAAATTACTCTAATATTAAAGTCCATCGTACTTGATTACATTTTCTCTTGCTCTACAATAGTCTTTTTATACCTAATTTAAATCTCTTACACCTATAATTTATCAAGAACTCCCACTTTACAGGCCCTACATATGAAAACTTAGTGCTAGGCCACACTTGTCCTGGTGCTCATCGACCTGTCTATTGCTAGCAGCAGACACCTTCCACAACTGAATTTATGCAAACATATCTTTCCCTATTTGCAAAGAGAACAAACAAGGGCCTCTTTCAATACTGTGCAAGTTGAGGGGAGGGATAGGGGTTCTGTCTGACCATGGCAGCCCCAGAGACCCTTTTATTAACCAGAGTAAAAGCACAGGCCTTAGGCACAGGTTATATATTCTTGCCCTGAACCCATGCCCCACAGCCTCCTCTAAGAGTTCCTCTGTGACTTACCACTTTTGTGCATTGGTTTCAGCCATCTAGTGCCATGTATACCAAGAAAAGGAGCCCCCAGGGTTTTGGAACAGGGTCATGGGAAGAGATGAGCTGAGGTATATGATGTGAGGAGGGTCATGGCCAAAGAACAGTTCCAAAAAAGTTGGAAGCCTCCTGACCACATGATCTCTACCCCACATGCCTGCTGCCTCACCACTCACCTGGGGCCTTGAGTTCAGCATCAATGAAGGTGAGCAGTTCCTGGCAGATGCTGCAGTAAGGAACAGGCCAGGTCAGGAATCTGTGGTAGGTTCTGGCTGCTTTCAGAAGAAGATCTGAGTCTGGTGGGAAGTGTGGTGTCTGGGATGGAGACAGAGGGGCAAACATAGAGGTCTGGATGAGAGAATACTTACTGGTATTCCAAAACAGACCTTCTGGATTGTTCCACAAAAGACATATGTTTCCTGGCAGCTGTGTCCCAGAACAAGGCCAAGAAAAACAGGAAGTTACCTGCAGGGAGTAAGTTACAGATGGGCAAAATGGCGCTCAGGGATGTCTCTACTGTAAGGACCTGGTGTTTACCAAACATAACATGGTTCTGCCCAACACTTAAGAGTACCTCTCTGAAAAGCTCTCACCTTGGAGGTCATCCTAAATGGTGCGGTTGGTGTCCCTCACTTCAGAAAATGGTCTTTGATTTAAGTATCTTGTATTTAAGTATCTTGACCAGAGGCAAATGTTTATTCTTTGAAGTGGATTGACTCAATATGGATGGAGTCATTTAGTGTCACCGGTCTAGTGAACACAAGGGGAAACTTGGTGAACCTGACCCCTGGGCCACAAAATGAGGTACACATAAAACTCCTCCACAGCTGCACTGCTGGTGGGAGTGCAAACTGGTCCAACCACTATGGAGAGCTGTGTGGAGATTTCTGGACCTACTAAACATAGAGCTCCCATATGATCCAGCAATTACACTCCTAGGTATTTACCCAAAGGACACAGAAACATCAATTCCAAAGAGCACCTGCACCCCTATGTTTATAGCAGCGCTATTTACAATAGCCAAGCTTTGGAAACAGCCCAAATGCCCAAAAATAGATGACTGGATCAAGAAGATGTGGTACATATACACCATGGAATATTACTCAGCATTCAAAAAAGATAAACACATGCAATTTGCAGCAACATGGATGGCACTGGAAGGGATCATGCTCAGCGAAATAAGCCAGAAAGAAAAAGAAAAATACCGGATGGTCTCACTCATAGCAGGAATCTAGAAAACTTAAATAAGGGACCAGGGAAATGAATAACTATAAGAAAGTGAAAATCAAAATCAACAAAAAACTATGAACCAGAGACACTTTTTGGGGGGCGGGGGCGGGAGGGGAGGGATTGGGGTCAGAATGGGGGGGCTGCAATTGTATGGGGAATATAAAAATAAAATTTATTATTTAAAAAAAAAAAAACAACTCCTCCACAGAAGGCTTGCATAACCCGGGAACAGGCTGTGAGAGAAATTCTTCCATGGGATCCAAGATATGCCAGACACAATGGCATCTGCAGGGAATTACTAGAAGCCTCTTCTCTCTGAGGTCATCAGAAGGTTGATACCCATCTCCAGTGTCACTGCTTGATGATTTCTTTCTCTTGTCTGTCTCCGGAGATGTGAGGCTATGTTCCCTACCCCCATCCTATGGAGGAGAGTCTTCCCTCATCTACTCCCCAGCCCACCCTGGAACTTACACCAAGGACAGTAGAGTAGAAGAGCAGGGCCAGAGGGGCCAGTAGATCATAGGTGCCCTTCTCCAGGACCTGTGGAGAGGACAGAGGGCAGGATGAGGCACATTCCCAGGGCACAGGGTGCCCCGTGCCCTATTCTTTCTTTTCTTTTTCTCAAGTGAAGAGCAATGTAACCATAAGACAAAATTTGTAAAACAGATGTTAAAAAAAAAAACCTCAGAAAACTCACAATATCTTCTTCCAAACTCAAGCACAGCTAATGTTTCAATATACTTCCCTTTATACCAGTTTTCTCTATGAATTCTCCTCTGCAATTACACAGTTATAGTATGTATTTTTTCACTCTTACTATCTTCTGCATATAATTGTATAAATGAATGTCTGATTTGCTACATGATATCTAAGACCACCCTCTTCTCTCTCTTACTTATACATTGACTTGTTATTTGCATTGTAAATATATTTTCTGGTTTGTTGCTTGGCCTTTTAATTGTATGACTTTTTTAATGTACAGAAATAACAAAGGTTGAATTTTTCCTTTGTGAATTTTTGCTTTTGTGTGCAAGGATAATATATGTATATCTCTATATTTTTTCTTCTTTTCTTTGAAGCTTCACTTTCTTTTTTGTTTTTTAAATATTTTCTACTTTAGAAAATATTGATAGTTTGACCATTTCTTTTTTTTTTTTTTTTAAGATTTATTTATTTATTTATACAAGCACTGGGTACAGTCAGAAGCGCGGGACGGTGAGAGAATTCACCAGAGCCAGAGAGGAGAGTAGAACAGGCATGATGACGAAGTACACTGCTGAGGGGAGCAGCGGGCGGCAGGAGAGGTCTGCGCGCCATGTGGGACCCTCGCCCGGTGGCCAGGGATCGAACAGGTGCTGCAGAGGCTACAGGCAGCTTTGCAACCCAGCGCTCAACCGCTGCGCCACCGGGGAGGCCCTGAAGCTTCACTTTCTTAAATTAAGAATTTGAATCCATTTAAATTCTATCGGCTATGTGGTGTGAATTGGAAATCTCACACCGTATTCTTCCAAATGTTTCAATTCCCCTAGACCATTTCATAAATCTTCCTGATGCCATTTGATTATATATTAAACATAATTTAATATATAATATATAATAGCCATCATTTTTTATTAGGTGCATATTATTCCTTCTAGTAGGTCACTATCATTTTGGTTTCATTTTAAATATTTGAGATTATTTCCTTGCTGTTTAAACACTTCTACAACAAAAACTTTTTGGCGCTTTTCTTTTTTCTATCATTTGGATTATTTTGAGTTCAATAAATGAATCAACTGATTAAAGACTATAAACATACTGATGATGATGGAAATGCAGTGTCAAATTATTTTCCAAATGGATGTGGATATTTATGATTCCTGGATATATGAAAGTACATCTTCACTATATATACCTTTCCCTGCATGGCCTACAATTTTTTTTTTTTTTTGCCAAATTTGCTAGGCAAAGGTTGTGTTATTATGGCTTTAATTTACATTTATTTTATTATAACTGAGGTATCATTTTTCCCCATATTTGTTTATAAGTTCTATTTATTCTTTTGTGAACTGTCTTTTTGACAGCACCTGCCCACCACACCACAGGCACACAGGATTTAATGTTTTGGCTCAAAACGCTAAAGATCTCTTGACCCACTGTGGAGCTCATGGGTGCTGAAGATGCATCATCTCTGCTGAGTTTTAGGATTCTTCTCTTTACCCTAAATACACCATATGTCTACATACCTGCTGCTGGGTACTTCCTACAACACCCTTTCTATTTCTAAATGGTAGCTGATTCTGTGTAGTTGGCAGTATAACTTAAGCACTCCAAAGGTGGGTTTCTAGTTGGTCTGCTCGTGATCCGGGTGTAAAAGCACCAGAAAAATGGTTGTGGCAGAATTGGAATCTTGGGTATCCTGATAAACCAAGTCTTTGTTCTTACAGAACAGTTACCTAAAGAGTACATCACATGTTTTCTAACTCACTCATGTATTTAAAAAAACCAGAAACTTAAAAAAGAACACTTTATAGAAGAACCAGAGTTCTCTCCAGGGACTCACAGCTGTTCTGGAACCTCAGTCTAGCTCAGCATTCAACACACTTCCTCTTCTTAGCCATAGAAGCTTATTTAGGCAGCTTTCTTCTCAACACTGCCTACTGTGTCTATGCAGGCGTCTCTTTTAACAAACCTGTCCCTTTCCGGGCGGCTCTTTCTTCCCCACTTGTGTCTGTGCAAGCATCCTTTACTTTCTTTTTTTACATAATAAACCTGACCTTTTGGATATTAAAAAAAAAAGGCTTATTTATTGAATTATTGGAGGAAGTCTCAGTTTACTTTCCCAATCTATTTACTCTTTTGTATTTTTATTCTTATGGATCTTTTTGAGGAAGGGAATTCGGTACAGCTTTCTCTTTCCTTTCTAGTCACTGTCATGACTTACAAGCAAGGTCTGTCTCAAGAAGCCATTAAACTTTGAACTCTGGTTCTCACTTCTTGTGTTCTCATTGAGAGAACCACATCTCTTCCTAGAAACCGCCAATCCATAAGCACCCTTGAACCAGAGAGCCCAGTGGTCCCAGGGACTTTGCCAAACCCTGTGATGGTTCAGGCATCCCAGAACTGACATCTGTAAGGACCCATTTCTTGAGTCCACAAGGTTGGCCTCATCTTTGCCCTTCAATCCTTGGCTGTCCCTCACCTCTCGGGTTTTCTGCAGGATCAGTTCCAGGAGGATAAGGAAGTGACCTGGGTCTCTGCTGACCAGCTCCTGTAGGGTCCAGCAGTTAAGACACAGCCCAGCTGGAAAGAGAGACAGGCGAGCAGTCAGCTTGGGGTAGAAGAAAAATAGGAATCCCTAGTGAGGACATTCTTTACTAAGGAAAGATCCTCAGAAAATACTGGATTAATATTCAACCTTATCATGCTCCATCACGCTATAAGGACAAGTTCCTCAGTCTTGCAAATAGGAGGCTCAAGAGACATGGACATGCTCTAGGATTCCTTTAGAGGCCAATAACTGGGTTATGATTCTGAGCTCCTGCCTCTGCAGACCACCAGTTCTCCCACCACCTCCCCTACCCTGGCTTCCTAGAGTGGGTACAGGAGCATCTGAGATGCAGAGAAGAAGGGTAGAGGCAGAGAATGCTGGAAGAATGAGCTCCACCCATAGGACACAAGGCAGAGTTGATGACAGCCACGAGACTTGCCAGGACTGTCTAGCCATGGAGGCCAGGAAGGGGAAGCTACATTCACATATATTTTGAAAGCTACAATGAACATTTGTCACTCTGTAACTTCCCCAGACTTTCTTTGTCAATCTCTGTTTCCCTGCAGTCAGCAAGGGTAAACCCCTAAAAATTAAAGGGGAGGTCAGCTAGGGGTTTGTGTGTGTGTGTGTGTGTGTGTGTGTAGGGAAGTGAGAGCAGTAGAGGCACAAGTGGATTAACCATGAATTTCATAGAACTTAAGCTCCAGGCCACCTTGTGTGCAAAGGCTCCTTCCAAAGTCCCGGATGCATCTAACAGTGTTTTTATGTGGTCACAGGTCTTTGTAAAATTTGCAAAAGTCAGATATATTTGTATTCTTGAATTTAGCTTAGGCCTCATCAAAATCTGGTTCAGGGGAAGAAGGAAGAAAACTACCATTTACTCACCTCCTACTGTATGCCAGTAAGGTGCTAGGCCTTTGTGGACATTATTTCCCCTGAGTTTCCCCTCCTCCCTTCACGAAGGTGATTTGTGTTGTTATTCTCATTTCATGGGCTAGGAAAGTGGGGTCCTGAGGTGTTGCATGGTTTATAGTCAGTGAATGGCAGTATTAGTTTAGGTCTGTTTAATTCCACAGGCCAAGGAAAGTCTCTCAAAGGAGGTGACATTTGAGCTGAGACCTGTATGAGAAGGAGCTGCTATGTGCAACTTTGAGGGAAAAGTGCCAGGTAGAAAGGCCCCGAGGTAGGAAGTTATGTTCCTTCCTGATAAGTTCAGAGAGCAGTGGGTATCTGTCCCAAGGGGTAGTTAGGAAGGCAAGTGAGATATGGGATGTGAAATATCTTGACAAGCATAAAAAAAATTACAACTAGGATGAGTCCTCAAAGCCACAACTGCCTCATTCTGCAGATACCTCCCTTTCTTAGTCCTGGGGACAGGGAACATGGAAGCCTCCTGTTCCCTGGATCTCTGCTGTGAAAGGAACTAGAAACCAAGTAAACAGGAAAGTTGCCTACAAATTCCCAGCTGCTCTTTTGGAATCAGCAGTTATAGTATTTCTGAGCAGATTCAACACTCTCTTCAAGGAGCTACACTTCTGCACAGGCTAAAGAAGCAAGACACGGCCCTTGGGGGTGAGGGAGATAATCATGAAAGGGGTGACAATGCCGCTTATGGAGGGCCTACTTTCTGTCAGGTTTCCAAGCATGACTCAGGGTTTATCACGACACCTGAGTCCTCATTGGGCCCCAAGATGCTTCCCCCACTCCCTGAGACCTACCTGACCAGGATGTGGACCTGCGGCTGAGGCTGAGACCGTGCAAGCAGCGCTCCAGAGCATGCAGGATGCGGTCCTCCGTGCATGTCGTGGTCCCTGGCTGCATCCTGAGTCATCGCCTGTGTGGGGGACAGACACTGGTGAGCCTGGGGAGTCCACCAGCAGACCACAGAGCGGCAGGAAGTGAGGGTCAGGGGTGGGAGCAGAGAAGTGCAGAGGTCTGTTTGTCCTACTGGGTAGAGCCAAACATCTCCTCTGCCCTACAGGGGGTTCTCAGGGCATGGCCTCATCCCAATGGGCTGAGCAAATGGACCTCAAAGGAAAAATCAGAATCAATTTTGTTCTGGATTTCCAAGCCTGCATCTCCCACCCCTGAGGGATGGGCAGAGAGCCACAGAGAAGCTCTCTTGGCATGCTGGGTAAGCCAATGCTAGGGCCCTGTGGGGTTGCTGCCACACGGTCCCCTACCCCAAACCCTCTGCTTGGGTGCCCAGGCCACATGCACCGGTTCTCTTCTGCTCTCACCTCCACTTTGGCCACTGTCTTTTGCTTTCACTGAGGCTTGGCACATTACCACTTATCCAGAGACCTCACTTAGTCCCCTCCCTTGTCCTACTGAGGAGAAGTTGGGGTGAAGGTGCTTAGCCCAGGACAGAAGGCTGCTGAGAAGGGGATTTAGCATCTGCTGGGAACTGTGTCAGGTGTGTCAAATTCTGAGAGCCTTCATCAGGACCAGCCCAGCTTCTTAGTTATGTGAGAGGGTGTCTGAGTCTCTCAGAAAGTCGATATCAGGCAGTTCAGCACAGTGAGTTAAGCCTGATAACAACAGACTTGGACTCAAATCTTGACTTTGATATTGCTAATCACACAACTTTGGACAAAATCTTGAACTTGGTGGAACCTCAGTTTACTTATCTGTAAAATGGAAGTGGTGGTAACCCCACAGGGCCAAAGCGGACGTGACGAATAAACATTCAAGACATGAAAGTTATCATGATACAGTCTTTGCCACGACCACCCTTTCCCCCAGCAGCGTTGCTGCATTCACCTTGTCCAGGCAGATCCCACTGCTGGTCAGTGAGACCAGGTCACACAGAGGGAAGCTGAGGAAATAGAGATATAGCACCGTGGAACCAGGGATGGACCAGGAAATCACAAGCAGAAAGAGTTCAGAGTCGAGCTACGCAAATGACATGCAAAGAGCAAGGAGAGCCCAGCTGCGCCCAGCAGCAGTGCCACAGGGCATCTGGCCAATGGAGGCCTGGCATAGGCGAACCTCCCAGCTTCCCCTCCTCCCCCAGCCTGAGAGGATCCGTGGGCCCAATAAATAGAAGCCTTTGTGAGCTGTCCAACACTTCACCCTGGCGACATCCCCGGGAGGGTGAGGGTGGCCCACAGGAAGGAGCATGCTGAGGCCAGCAGGTACTGAGTGGCCTACATACTGCAGTCTATAGTCACAGCCAATTGTCGTGGTGGGGGGGCCCTCGGGTGAGGGGTCTGTCCCCACTGACACACTGCCCACATCAATGCAAGAAAAGTGGGAATGTGGTGGACTTTGGTGGTGGACTATAGGTGTCTTGGTTATAGGTGAGATATGGCAACAACACCTGAGGAGGGAGATCCTAACACACAAACAATGATGTAAACCAATGTCACCTCAGTTAAAAAATGAAATAAAACCTTTCCCAAAGAGTAAAAAAGAAAGTAAAAACTGGGAGGAAAGAAGGTATTGTCAGCCATTCAAAGGGTTCTACTTTCTCTCCCCAAAGCCAAGAGCAGAGGGGCTTTAAGAGAATCCCTTATCAGGGGCCTCCCTGGTGGCGCAGGCGGTTGAGCACAGTGCTATGAAGCTGTCCGCAACCTCTGCAGTGCTGGTTCGATCCCTGCTGGCCTCAGAGCAACCCACATGGCGAGCAGACCTCTCCTGTCTCGCCTGCTGCTCCCCTCAGCAGTGTGTTTCATCAGTCTGCCTGTTCTGTTCCCCGCTCTGTCTCTGGTGAATCCTCTCACCCTTCCGCACATCTGGCCTGTACCCCTGCTCTTGTATAAATTAAAAAAAAAAAAAAAAGAGAGACTCCCTTATCAGAATGGTTGCCTGCCAGGGCTGAATGCTGCCATTTTGTTTTAACTTTCTACTCAGCCAGCAAATTGCTCCTGTTCTACCCATGAGCCCTTGCAGGCCCACTCCTGGGCAAGGCAAGACTCCTCTTAGTGTGCGGGGATGTATACTAAGAACAACTGCTGGATATGAGCTGTTTTGTTGATAGTTCACCCTAGAAGGACCCCAGTAGGATGAGGGAGATAGCGCAGTAAGAGGGTGAAGGTTGGACCATCTCTGGGGTAAGCTGAAGGGAATGGGATGAAGAGGAAAATCTGTGAGAGAAGTTAAACCACCTTAAGGTTGCACAGTGAGGAGTCAGCAAAGCCAGAATATGAACCCAGAGTTTCCGGCTATTAACCACTACGGTACACACTCCTCGGCAGAGATGGATATAGCGACTGGTAGAAAAATAAAACCAATTCATGTTTCTGCCATGAAAAGTGAGGGCTTAACTCCATATGAGTCAGTCACTGGCAATCTTGAGGACATCACATCTGTCTATACCAGCTTCCCACCAGTTTTGCCCCTTCCAGAGAGAAGACCAGGACTCACAGAAGCAGTACTCTCGGCTAAAGTGCGAGATGACTTCTACCTGCAGTGAGGGCTGAACTGTGAATCAGGTTTAAAGCCCCCTCTGCCCAGCCCCTGATGCCATGGACAAGTCATTTGTGTCACAAGGCAGGAATGAGTCATCCTGCCCTACTGCATCCCACTGTAACTGCTGGGAATGCAAGATGCAAATGAACATTCTTGGCCAGACAACTTCCACCACACCCCTATCCTTAGGGAGTTAGAACACTGTCCAGGGCTGCTCTCCAAGCCCCTCACAACGCCTGCCAGCCCACGCTTCTTCCCTTCCCGAGACTTCTCATCTCCTGGCCTCAGTGTCCCAGCTGTTCAGTGGAGATGATCAAGGTCTTCTCCATGCAAGGAGCTTCTATCCCCAGGCACTGGGTAGCATTCCTGGTGTGCTAGCCTCCCTGGCATCCTGTGGCCTTCCAGAGCTTGCCCCAGCTCTTAGAGACAGGACTTGCCCAGGGTGCCAGGCCCTGGGAGCAGAGGGAAGGGGGAATCTGGGGGCTGTGGTGGGGTGATCCTCAGCTGAGCTGCCCAGGGGTTGCCCAGCACTTCATTCACAGCACACTCACTTCCATATGAGTCAGACACCAGCTGTTTCTTGTCACTTGTCAGCAGAACCCCAGTGACTTTGGGATAAAGACAAAGAAGGGGGAAAAGGTATCACCCTCTTGCTCTCCCCAAGGGTGAAGTTTGTACCATCTCTGGGATAAACTGAAGGGAATGGGATGAAGAAGTGGAAAATCTGTGAAAGAAGTTAAACCACTTGCCTAAGGTTGCACAGTGAGGAGTTGGCAAAGCCAGAATATGAACCTTACTGCGCCATCTCACTCACCCTACTGGGGTCCTTCTAGGGTGAACTATCAACAAAACCGCTCATGTCCAGCGTTTGTTCTTAGTATCCACCCCACACACCAAGAGGAGTCATGTCTTGCCCAGCAGTAGGCCTCAAGCACCCTTTTTCAAAGGTTTGGCTCACTAAGAGGAGCTCACTAAGAGGAGCTCTGTTATGAAATTCCAACTGCTTCCGGAACAGGAATGGCCCGCCTTTCCACTGTAGGGTGTGCTCAGCAACAGGGCCTGCCACCACCTCCTAGTTCCTCTTTTGAGCCAGTAAGGATGAGACCTTACTGGGGAGTCTGAACAGGACAGTGAGGACTAGAGTTGCAGGATGGGGACCCCCAATAGGCACAGAGCGAAAACTTTTCACGTGTTGACATGAGCCCATGATTCAAGACAGGTTTATCTCCCCTAAAGTACAGGCACAGGCCCAGCCTCCTTAGGCAGCCCCACAAGGAGCAAGAAGGAGGATTTCTTCTCTTGGGGGACTCCTCAAACAGTATGGAAAGACACATGGGGCTTCAGGCTCGATGAGTTCCTCTGGTGTTCTTGAATATTCCAGGCCCATGCTTTGAAGGAAGGCTTAGTCCCACAGGTGGGAAGAAGAAAAGGACCAAAGCATATGGTCCTGTGCTTGCTCAAATCTGTGGGTGAAATTTTGAGGAAATACAAGATATTTGCATATTTTCAGAGTATTTCCCCCTAGAAAGTTATCAATCACAAAGTGGTAAATGATAACTTCACAGTGGAGAAACCCAGCACCACCTTAATGTCATCATCAAAGTTAGTATCACCAATAATAAGACATATCAACAACATGTGTCCCTAAAATGATGTGATGAAAACCACATGACATTACTTCTGTGGGATTCTTGCTAAAAACATATGACCCCAATTTAATCATGAGAAAACACTAAAACCCAATCCCAATTAAAAGAAATGCTGTATAGGGGCCTCCCCGGTGGCGCAGTGGTTGAGCGCTGGGTTGCGAAGCTGCCGGCGACCTCTGCGGCGCCAGTTCGATCCCCGGCTGCTCCCCGGCCACCGGAGGAGGGTCCCACATGGCGCGCAGACCTCTCCTGCCGCCCGCTGCTCCCCTCAGCAGTGTGCTTCAGTCTTTCTGCCTGCTCTGCTCCCCGCTCTGGCTCTGGTGAATTCTCTCACCCTCCCGCGCTTCTGACTGTACCCAGTGCATGTATAAACAAAACAAACAAACAAACAAATAAATAAATAAAACATGCCTCTATTAAAAAAAAAAAAAGAAAAAAGAAATGCTGTATAGTGACTGACCAGTCTACAACAAAGTGTCAAGGTATCCAGTAAAAAACAACCACCCCAGGGACCTCCCTAGTGGCAGAGGGTGTTGAGCACAGCACTGTGAGGCTGTCCAAGGCCTCTGCAGCACAGGTTTGATCCCCAGCCAGCCAGGGAGCTGCCCACATGGCACAGCAGACCTCTCCTGTCTCACCCGTTGCTCCCCTCAGCAGTGTATTTCAGTCAGTCTGCCTGTTCTGTTCCCCGCTCTGCCTCTGCTGAATTCTCTCTCACACATATACCCTACATCCCTGCACCTCTGGCCGGTACCCCAATTCTTGCATTCAT